GTGAGACACAGTCACACACACAGTCACACACACAGTCACACACACACTAACTAAAATATAAATAAACATTTGTACTTGTTTCCATTTCAAAATATCTCTCTGTCTCCCTCTCCACCTCTCTCTCTCTCTCTCTCTCTCTCTCTCTCTCTCTCTCTCTCTCTCTCCACCTGTCTCCAGTCTCAGTGGTAGTTTGTACCAGACTGAAGTTGGTCAGATCTTCTGATCAGACGTCCTTCTTCTACTTGACGAACACGACGTACACTCAGGTGTACTGTACAGGTAACGCACTGTGTCCAGCTGTGTACTTGTACATCTTCATGGGTGTGTCAGCTGACCTCTTTCCTCTCTCCTCATTGGTCGCTTTGGCAGGCCTGGGCCACCACTCAGAGATGAGTTACCGTAAGCTGCGGCCAGTGAGACAGTTCCTCCAATGGCTGCGGAGCCAGGATGACGGACAGGTGCTGAGCAGGGCTCTGATTGGAGGATTCTTCATCCACCCGCCTCCTCCCGTCTCCTTGGAAACGTACATGAAAGACAGGAGAGGTACTCGACTACTATTTATATATTTATTTATTTATGAGTAAAAGTGAGCTGTCCCTTTAAGTGTGTGTGTTACTGTGTGTGTGTACAGGTGTGCCCGGGTTCCTGCGAGGGGTGGAGCTTCAGAGGGAGGTGGAGAGGCTCTGTTACCGGGAGCGACGCACCTTCTGTATCCAGGCAGCTGTTACCATGGTTACGTACAGCCGCAGAGGAGAGGTGAGTGCTTCCTGTTTTACGTACTTCCTGTCTCATGTACTTCCTGTTTCACGTACGTCCTGTCTCATGTACTTCCTGTCTCACGTACGTCCTGTCTCATGTACTTCCTGTCTCATGTACTTCCTGTCTCACGTACTTCCTGTCTCACGTACTTCCTGTCTCACGTACTTCCTGTGTCACGTACTTCCTGTGTCACGTACTTCCTGTTTCACGTACGTCCTGTCTCATGTACTTCCTGTCACACGTACTTCCTGTCTTATGTACATCCTGACTCATGTACGTCCTGTCCCATGTACTTCCTGTCACACGTACATCCTGTCTCATGTACATCCTGTCCCACGTACTTCCTGTCTCATGTACATCCTGTCCCATGTACATCCTGTCCCATGTACTTCCTGTCACACGTACATCCTGTCCCATGTGCTTCCTGTCCCATGTGCTTCCTGTCCCATGTGC